CACCTCTACTCACTCTGCGATGCTGCCTATGCCCAGACAGAAGTTGCAAGGAAGTATGGATTGAAACCACCAACACTGTAAAGAAACAAGGAGGAAATGACCTTCTAAAGTGAAGTTGCCCACTTCAGCCAGCCCTAAAGATGCTGTTGCAGACGATGTTGAATGGTGGAACTTAGTTTTTTCCCGTTCGTGGTGTTGTCATTTGCTACATCTGTTAAATGTTTAGGTGTTGTGGGAGTGGTTGTTCAAGGAGGTATGCAGTGTTGCATCTTGTTCCTTCTGCAGCAAAACCCTTCAAGCGTGTTAAGGGAAATAAAGGTGCAGGGGAACAAAAGGAAGATATTTTGGCCATGCAAATAAAAACTTCACACTGGTTCATTTTGGGTGATTATGTTGTGGGCGATTTTTGCTTTATCAAAACAATACTACAGCATGTGGGTTTTTTTCCTGTTGATTTTAAAGGTAATACTAGTCAGTGCTGTAAAATAGGTTTCTTTTTTATATGCAATTAATCCTTGAGGGTTGATTTTAATTTTGCAAAATGGAAAAAAAATAATTTTCAAACTGTTTAATAATAGAGGGTTTTTTTAAGTCAGTAGATGTGGTGAGAATCCCTGTAAATACATGCAAGCATGCACAATCTTCCCTTAAAGCCCCTCCCACCCTCTGCATAACTAACTTAGAAATAGTCCTGTGGCAGCTATTAGGAAATTAATTTGATAGTCCATGTCCTCCTCCCAGAAAGCCCAAGCGTACTGTACAGGAGAGCTAGTAAAAAGGTTGGTTGGGGAAGGAGGTCAGGTAACACTGCTTTGGCATAGTTTTACTGGAAGAAAGGTCATGTTCCTGTGCAGCAGTCCTTACCTGAATGTCTTGGGAAATGGTTCTCGAGGGTTCAGAGGGACTTTCAAGAACAGAAAGCACTGCTGGGAGTACAGCTGCCAAGGTAAGGTCATGCTTGCATATAATCTGTGTATGTGCATATAATCTGATGCTCTTGCTTAAATGTAATGCCGTATTGCTGGATTACGTGAGAGAAGCAACAAAGCATAGGCTAAAATGTTCAAATAATGGATTTAGAATCTGTACTGGTTTCCTTGTTCTTTAGACCCTGTCTTGTCCAAGATTACAAATACTGTAGAAAGGAAGCAACTGTTCTGCAAATAGCAGGTTGGCAAATTATTAATACTAGTATAAACCGGCTTCCTCTGCTAGGAGCTTCACGGAGGGTGCTCTTGCTTTGGGTTGATCTTCCTAGTACGGAAGTCAGTCAGTCCATCTTGCCTCTCCCTGGATTCATGTGGCTGGATAAACCTCATACAAATGCTTAACTGATGTAGCTTAATTTACAATACACTAATTTGGGCTCCTTTCCATCCTGGAATCATAGACTTGCTTGTGCTGAGTTGTCTAATGTATTTCATCTTTTAAACAAATGAACTATGCTGTGGTCAAACTGTCTTGTTCTCTACTTGCACCACCATGTAGCAGCAGCTTGTATTTTCAACTTGACCTTCCTTTCTCCCAGCAACTACAGTTGAGATTTCAAATGGTGGAGCGTAGACATAAAGATTTAATCATTCTATTTTAGCTAGCTCAGTAGGTGATCTGAAATCATAGCATTGGTGTAGAATTGAAGGCATTGGAAGGTACTGGCAGCTTCTAAGGGCACTGCACATAACAAGTGTCAAATGTTATCTGGAACTTCCAATCTCTGCATCAATTACCTGAGAACAAAAATATGCCAGACTGACTGATGTGTCCTGTTCTCTTGAGGAGTTTTTATTCGCATGGCCTTACTTACATTGGCATTTTCTCCTCTTCACCCTACCTGTACCCCATTCCTTACCCCACCCAATCAATTAAGGGAAAAAAGCATGTGCTGTCAAATACTAGCATTCCAAATCATCACAGACTTTTGCCTGTTCTTGAAGTAGTTTGGAACTGCACTGAAAGGATGCATTGTCTGTAACTTTTTTTTGTAAATGACGTATCACCTGTAAACTGAAAAAATAAATATTACCTTCAAGTATCTCTCTCTGACATGTATAAGAACAGGTTTTGATGAAAGTGTTCTCTGCACTGGTGCTCTCCGAGCTTATTTGAGGTTGCTTTGAATCTAGGAAGAACTAATAATGACTGACTCCCTGTCATCTTCTCTCACTTCAACCTTTAAGAAAAAATGAGGAGGAGACATGGAATTAATAAGTCTTATCTCCAGTTGCTTCCATCACCCACAGGTATGATCTCAAGAGCTGAAGCTTACAGGGAAAAGGAAACCCAGCCAGGAAAGCTGGGAATCTGAGTAGCTGAAACCCTGTTAATGTGTGTATGCAGGTGCAGCCCTTTAGTGAAAGGCACTTTTTTGTGGTGGTTGTTTTCTTAATGGCTGATACAGTTGAAGTTTTGCTTTAAGCCAGGTGTGCATGTGAACTTTGAGGAAAAGCTTTCTTTAGTAGGGATCAAGAGCTGAAGTGAAGCAAGTATTACTGCTATTTAAAAAAATGAATCTGTTGAAATGTAGGAAGCTAGTACTGAAGGCTTGGATAAACCTGGTGTAGTCCTAGAGACTCTGGGAAGTTGCTTCTACACATAGTTGTCTTGCATCTGAATTCTGATCATGTAAAAATCCCTGTTGTTCACGTTAGAGCCAAGTTTGCCAAAATGGAGGTTAGAAGTTGTGACTTGAATTACTAGGATCTAACTGCAGATTGGAAGTGAAGAGGCAACCAACATATACTAAGGAGCTGTACTGTAACTTATTCTGGAACTATTAAGAGGAGCTTGGATGCAGCTTTATCCAGGCTTCCCAGCTGCAGTGGAAATAACAGTGCCTGATAGAACAGGTATTACTGTGTTTTCTGCCATTTCTTTAAAAACTTAAATTCTTGCAGGCTGAAATTCTGGAGCTATTCCAGGGTTGTTACTGGCTGGTTTTCTATACTTGGAGAATATTGTTGCGTCTGTATAATATGGATACTTAAAGTGCCTGTTTGTTTTCTACCAACACATACTGAGTATGGACTGCTTTAAGTGTTATCTAGCTGAGAACTGATTGTGTACTTTTTTTCATTGAATCCCCCCAAAAATTCAGAGTCCCATTTGTATCACTTTTGAGTGGAACGCACTGGAGACCCCTAAAACAAGGTGATTAGAAGTTGTCCTGACAGACTGAAGAGGACAGCTCATGTCACCTCTTCATCCAAGTTCACCAAAGTAGCTCGTTACAGATTTTCATCTGTTCTCTCCACTTGGGATTGCAGGGGAGGAGGGTCCTAGCCATGCAATGCATTCTGTTGACTGCACTTTGCATTTTTAAAGTTAAGCGGTCAGCCCATGAGAATCCTGCACTACTTTAATCCTCCAAAGGTAGTATTTAGTTCCTGTTCTGCTGCATGTTAAACTAGTAGAGAGAGGGGAGGGAAAAGACAGATGGGGTACTTTAGAGAAACAGATGTATAATAGTTGCTATGATTTAGAAGTTGGAGCCCAGTGATGGCCAATCATGGATGCCGATTGTTCAATATGTGGGAGGCACTGATCTAATGCAGGAAACTTGACTCAAATGGTAAATTGTTAAATTTTTTTATATTTATTTTTCAACAAATAAATCTTCATTTCACCTTATGCTCTGTGGCTTGTTTCTTAAGAATTCCAGTACACTGTGTACACCAAAATGCAGTGAAGAGTACAGACCAATAAATACCTACTGGAATAGATAATGCCACTGAGTGGAATGGTATGATATGTCTTTTGAGGGGAAAGATGCCTCAGGGTCTGGCTTAATTTAACCATTAATTTTCCTTTATAAAACACACACCTAGCTCATTCCAGAGAAGCCAAAAGAACATTAAAAAAAAAAGTCAAGAGCAGCTGTGGGAAGAGGATGACAGCCACACATGAATAAAAAGGTAGGGTGGTTTTGAGGGAAACTGGTGGTTAGCTAGAGCAAGACAAAACCTCTCCCTCTTCCAGTTTTTGTATTTTGAAGTTGCCTTTAGTCTTATCACTTTATCATTTTTGCTGCTGGAAAACTATAGTGGTAAAAGCTGGATAGTTGCTGCTTTTTTTCATCCCAAGGAGAAAAACCCCACCATTGGCAAATTCCTATCTTTTTACATTAGAAGTACCAAGGTGTCCTCCTTTAAGAAACAAAACCAAACAACATTCCAACATGCTAGAGGCTGGTTTTAAGTATTTTAAAGCCATCTTTAATGAAACTCTCTTCAGCAGAGAGAAGCTGTTAGTCTCTTCTGCAAGAGCAATGAAGTAAGGAGTGTTTCCCGTGCAGCTGATGGGAGTTGGCCTTTGGTAGCAACAATGCATTTAACCATTAGGCAATTGTAGTACCTGTCTTCCGGAAGACTGTGGGCAGAAAGGTTTAATCAGTGCAGCAAGTTTTCTAAGCCTTTTGACTCCCCTCAGCCTTTTCAGGTGAAGACTGCCAGGTAGCAGAACTAAAACACATTCAGACATTATATTAAGGAAGCAGTATATAGCACAAAGGTGTGACGACATGTGAATTGCTTTAACAAAACAGTAACCTGCACCACTTCAGCAATAAACAGGAACTGCAATAAGGAGAATTTAATACATATATCCCAGGCAAAACACATGAACCAAAGACTGTTACAGATTCTTCTATGGTAGTAATTCTGTCTGGCAGCTTCTTGCATTGTCCCCAAGTAGTACAGAGCAGAGTCTGGCCTGTTTTGTTTAGCATGTTCAATATTAAGCTTTCCAAGTTAGATGTTGGGCATTCAAGAAACACTGTTAAGGCACATACAACTAAGAAGGACAGAGGTGGAAGAATCATGTTTCTAGATTATCTGATAATTCACTAAAAAATTCAAAGTACCAAAGCTGACTTCAGAGGACTTCCAGAGAGAACAAGATTCCCATTTCTACATTCTACAAAAAAGCCCCCAAAAGGTAACTAAAACATCATGATGCATAAAAGGCAATATTAACTACCACTGTGTTGAACTGATTTCACCTCCATCTTTATCCTAGCTGTAAAATACTAAAGTATGAGAGGAGATACAAAAGTTGTATTTGAATCAATTTTAGAATTATACCATGAAGAGGTTTGGTTTTGTTTTTTAATTAACTGGCACATTTAGCAGTAGCTTGTGTAGCAATGAGTGAGGGAATCCTTATGAAGATGAAAGCAGCAGTCATTGTGCCAACTGAACCTTCCCTACTCACCCAGCTTCACTTTTTCACCTCTACACCATAGAGATCACAACGCTTCTGGGTTAAAATTGGAATTTGTTGACGTATTTCTGCAAGTTTCTTCAAATCTGCAGGGAGGGGGAAGAAAAAGTTATTACAACAGCAGTCAAAAAGGAAAGCTCCTGACTCATTCTGAGATAGGGCAGGGAAAAGAGCAGCTTTCATGGAGAATGGGGCTGTAGGGCACTGCAACTGGGCAGCCACAGCTGAAGGAAGCCTCAGCTTTGCTCTTTCCTAAGGTGGCAGCTTCCTCCTAAGTAGGAAAACTGGAAGAGTATAGTCAAGTGCTGCTTGTTCTTGCTTTAATCTAGCAAAGGTGGAGAAGGGCTGGGAACACTGCATCATCTGTAATTCCATGTGCAAGCCCCCAGACTTAAAAAAACTGTCTCTCCTTAGTCTCATGACCTGTACTCAAGAAAGCAAGCAGGAAAAAAGAAAACAAACACCTTTACACTTACCTATATCTGTGTATATAACTGTTTCCTCAGCCCCAGCTTTGGCTATGACTTCACCCCTGCAAAATTAAGAACATTTGTTCACAGCATTAACACAGAGGTCTCAAGGCATCAGTCCAGTTGCTGCTGTTTGTACAAAAGGGAGTGCCTATCCTTGATGTCTACAGCTGTAAAGACAGGACTGTCCTAAAAATAGCATCATAACTCATAACTCTTCCATGATAGGAATTGCTTCCAGGCTTTATATGTTGCATATTTTATACGTGACATACACATATTTAACATAAGTATGCTTCTGAAGATCAAGAATCATGGTAAGAGGGACTATGAGAACCAGCACATGTGAGCATGCAATATATCTCAAGGTGAAATAAACAACTTCACCAGGGACAGCCATATATGACAAAGACTTAACACTTTCTCCCTTCAGATCCTACTGGCTTTTAACAGGAGTATACTTTTACTCTGCATGAGCTACTGAACATTATTTATCATGTCTCCCACTAGGTGTTCTGTCACTGCTTTCCTCATATAAAGCTCAAGTCACAGATAAAGCTTTTCTTACTTTGCAATCATCTAGAAGAGAACTATCAGTGGATTTATTTGAAAGAAAAATAACTGCCTGAAGATTGAGTCACTTTTACCTCCTGTGCACCGGCATGACTTCTGCTTAAGTCAGAATATGTCTCTTATCTAGCTCAAGACATTCTTCTTGTTCTTTCTTATGTCAAAGCAGTGTTGTTCTTTGAGGAAATGGAATAGTTTTGTGTAAGCTGTTTAAGACAATTCAGTTCTGCACAGAAAACTACCATAAAACATAGTATATAATGGACTGAACTTCAGGGAGAAGTTGAAAAGGTCAGCAGCTTAACTAATGCTAAATACTAGTACTAAGTAGCTCCTTTCCTACCGAAATGAATACATATTGTTAAACTAGTTGTTTTAGTTTCTTTCTTGTTTTATAGTCAGACAGTTTTAAACCATGATTTTGAGAATGTAGGCTTAAGTCTCAGGTGCTTTTTACCAAGAACTTTTGATGTTTTTAAGAGGAGGTGACAATGTGTGACTGAAATGTGACTGTCAAGTAAAACGCTTTTTAACTAAGAAAACATCAGTTTGGTGTTTTTTCTTCTGAACTCACCATGGATCAACTACAGTGCTGTGTCCCCAGGCAACATAGGATGCTTTTTCATCTCTAGCAGGAGATACAGTAGCAACGTAGACTTGATTATCAACAGCTCTGTGTTCAAAGAAAGATGAGGGAAGAAGGGGGGAAGTAAGTATAAATTTTTTTTATACCACCAATTAACTAAGCAGAAGAAAAAAAATTCACTCTGAAGGGCAAACTATTTATCCTCCTAAGGACTAGCCAAAACTGTATGTGATATGAAAGTCAGAGAAAGCAGAGCCTAGAAAGAGAAGTCACTAGCACCTGCTCCAGAGTTAGTGGGTAGAATGAATTACACGTTCATTCAGCATGTAGCAAAGTTGATTGAAGCTGACCAAATGAACAATACTGCATTTAGTAATCTCAGGGCCTATTTCTATCTGTAATTAAAGCAGTTCTCAAATGCTTATTATTGGCTCTTCTGTCTAGAAGTTTGTGTGTGAAGGGTGCTTCCAGAGCCATGGGGGAAAAGGCCCTTGAAAGGGCCTAGCTGAGGAGGGGCTGGCAAGAGTGAAGGATAAGCATTCCCTGCTTTTCTCCTTGACAGCAAAATCATTTTGGTGTCCTATGCAAGGCTTGAGGAATGGTGTAGCTCCAACAGCAAAGTGGCCCTGCAGCACCACTTCTGAGGCATAGTGTCATTTGGAACACAAGAACAGTTCAGTTCCCCATGCTAAAACTCCCTCTGGAACAGCAGGATAAGCTGTTACTTTGTTCTTACCGTCCCCTCTGTAGCAGTTCCCAATGAGCTGGTCCTGTTGTCAGGTTAAAAGCCCCTGGATATATCAGCAGCTGGCAACCTTTGTTAACAGAAATTAGAACCCAGCCATCATTAAGGGGAAGATGGCTTGCCCTAGCGTAGCCCTTCACATTGAGGCTCAAGGCAAGGTTTCCTTCAGTACTTCCCAACCTCTGCCCAAAATGGAACCAAACAGAGCCTATCCATGCATGACATGGGTGATAACTTATGTCAGCAAAGCCCTGTGATTACAGTACCAAGTGTGGAGATATACCCATCTCCATCACTCCAGCAGCAAACGTGTATGAGGAAATGACTGTTACTTTACTCAAGGAGAACAGACACTCGTTTGAATAACAAAGATGCATTTTCTGTTTCTGGGTGAGGAGAAGAGCTCCTGATCACACAGATTTCCCAGTATGTATGTACCACCCTGAAATGGCCCTGCATTGTTCAGGCCTTAGGGCTAACCATGCTCCATTAGGTGACCCAGCCTCACCTTTCTGTCCGTAGACTTGAGCCAACTCAGCAAATCTGAGATCATAGCAGATGCCCAGGCCCACTTTACAGTATGCTGTTCTCAAAACACAAGAGACAACAGTCATATCGCTATCACAAGTACACAAAAGCAATCACAAGACTCCCTGCAGCCATCCTGCCAGCTGTTACTTTATACATCTCACAGTAACAAGAGGAGCTATATTTAAATGTGTATCCCTCCACAAATGTGGCTATTTGTCGGGGAGAATTCATGCTTCACGATGAGAGGAAGACTGTGAGAAGCACTCTTATCTACCCTTTAAAAACAGCCATTTCCACAAAATCATGTTATATCAGGTCTATGTGTAATGTGTTCCTCTCTGATTTAGCTGCAGGTTTTTCAATTATTTTTCTTTTCAAAAAAAGAAAGCACTCACCTCTCTTCATGGACTAAAGAAATTACAGTCATGTACTTTCTTACAGCATGCACATTGCAAGGAGAAAAAGGTGACCATGGGAGACGAGACTATTCAGAGAGCTCAGTAAACAGAACATGGTAATCTTTGGACACTGGGAGGGTCTGGGGACAGTAGGTGTCTTGAATGAACCACCTCAGATAAAAAAGCAAGAATGCTGGAATGGGATTTACAGTCGTCTCTATTATTATATCATCCTCACATGAAGCAATGTGCCAGTGTAGCTGTTTGCTGCATATATTCTTTTCCAAGCCATGTTCCATAAGAACCATTTTAAAGATGTAACTGCTGTAAAAAAAATACAGGAACTTCTCCTTAACAAATCAATATGACCACTATTTATTAAGGGAAGTGCCATGATATATGCTTCAACCCTTTCTGCTCCTCTGTCCTTCTGCAATCACATTGCCTTTTTAAAAGTTTCAGAAGTGACCCACACACTTGGAACAAACTTAAACTGTATTTGCTATGGTTGTCAAATGCCTAATATAAACCTGATAGTCTAGAAATCCATCGCTGGGGAAGAGGAGGGGGAAAGAGAACTCCAGAATGACTGTAGTGTTATTGTGGTAGAGATCCTTACAGAGAGGGCTTGTCTCATACTCACGAGTATCAAACATGGAGAAACTATTCCCTGGGCTCAGTGTTTCAGACTCTTTGAACTGTATCTTCCCAGGAATATTAATGTCAAACAAATGAACCTGTAATTATAGTATGATTAATAACAAGTAATAACAATTTCTCTGCTTGGTATTTGAGCCTCTTTCTATTAGGTATGTGTTTTCTAATTACTGTTATCTCAACTACTCTTTTGTCAGAATGCCAACTAAATGTTGCTTAAGATTGTGAGATCTCCTAGAGATGATTTAAAGCACTTTTCTTCTCTACAGAAATATACATGTCTAAAGTTATCTGGAAAACAAAACAACAACAAAAAAACCCTGGACATTTTAAACAACATATATAATCCCTATGACCCAAGTGATGCACATATCAAACATTCATATTGCTTAACAAAGAGAATGCGCCCTGTTCTTCTCCCATGCAGTAATAGAGAGTAGTTAAAAACAGCTAAAAATATAACAATTAATTTATAGTATGGCTCTAGATCTTCTTCATGGAAAGCATCCCTGCAAGATAGCTAGGTATCTTGATCTAATGAGTAATTTTGCAAAAGAAAGGATACATATAAAATATCTTGAATTTGTCAGGATGATTTTAAAGTATGTTAAAACAGACAGCATGTTCCTCTCTAAGACTTGAGTGCCATTCCTGCAAAACTTCTCCAGAAAATATCTTCACCATGTCATGAAGTTGCCATGACTTCAGCTATGCAGATGCCTCTTAGCCCCTGCAGACTGTCTTTATCCCTCCCCTTACAATGGAAGACTCTGTTCCTAACTGGAGCTTCCTAATAAAGCATCTGTTTTTATATTATTATTCATTCATATTTAGACACTACAAGCCTGCACTCATTCTACAAAAACAAGTACCGGGCTTGCAGACTGGTGTGGTATGATAGATGGAAGGCAACATAGTACTTCAGAAAGTAATCTAATAGTGTAGCAAAGTGTAGAATCAGTTACAGAATAAATTAATACCTGCACCCCAGAGGTATTTTGCACCACCTCTTTTGTTCCAAGTAACCTTGCATTCTCTTTTTTGTTTTCCCTTGAAGGAAATAAGTTGTTGTTCACCTACGGAATGTTACCTGTATGCATAATCAGATTAACAGAAACTACACTCTACAGTTATGAATAGGAGGTAGTTTCTCAGAAGGCACAAAGCAATGACCAGATGGAAGATGACAGTAAGCAAGTATCTGACACAAACAGCAGACACAGCTTAACTATGGAACTTGGACTTCGGTTGTCTGCACTAATCATACATATAGCACACAAAGTCTGTAAAGAACAGTATTTAAGATAACAGAAAGACTATAATCCACTGGGAACTTCATGGAAAATCCTGATCCCACTTAAGTGGCACTATGTTTTAGGCCTAGCCCAAGGTACACAGGTGAGTTGGATCAGGATTTACTCTTTACCACAGTTTTCCCAGCATCTAGGAAAAGCCAGTTATGCCTTATGCATTTTGTCATCCTTATCCAAAACAAATTTATGACCACATTCAGAAAGGCTGTTTACAGGTCCCAAATAAAAATTACATGCAATTTTACTGACAGTACAGAGCTCATTATTAATGCAAGAGTCTACTAATTCACTAATTTAGGCACAGATGAAATAATTTGTGCAACATTGCTGAGAAACCTTTTAATAACAATATTTTGCCATCTTACCTTCCTATGCTTTGCCAACATAGCACCATCAGGCCCAAAGACAGTACACGTATTATACAGCTTTCCACCATCCTCTTCTGGAATGGATCCTTAGTAAAGGCGAGAACAAAGATTTCCCTTGCTGTATTACATGGAATTTTGATCCAATAGCACTAGTAGACATTGCCCTTTTTTCCCCCTCAATGTGATGGTCACTAAGAGTAAACTACCTCCAATGAGATATACACTGCACTCCTTTGCAACTTCTGAGAGCTTTTGTGTAGATTCCCCAGGGATCTTCTCTGCATACTCCTTAAAGTACTGGGTTCCATATGGAGAATTAAAGCACTCCTAGATTTAGGGGGGGAAAAAAATTATGTTAAAATCCAGTAACACCACTGCACAGAGATGTGCTTGACCTTTCACACTCCTCTCTACCAATGTTCTCACACAATCTTTTTAGTTACAGGAATTTAGCTTACAGGAGCTCAATGAACAAATCGGAAAATATCAGGAGGCCAGAGAGACCTTAACAATTAGAGAAAATGGAGTGGGTGTGTTGGTGTGAACACGTGCCAAACAAATGTGAGCTAAGAGTATCATGCAAGCTGCAGGTAACGCTAGCACATTTATCAGTCTAGACTTAGCAAGATCACAAGGGATGTTCTCATCAGAACAATGAACCAAGTTCCACCTAGCTCATTTGACAAGTTACAAGCTAAATAGATTCTCTCAAAACTGTGAAATGCTCATGCTTGTCCACAGCCCATGATTTCTTCATTTTTAAAAGGACCTTTGCAAAAGAATGCATTTCTCAAAATTACTCTTTTGCTAAAACTTTAAACACTTTTTCCTCACAACTGAACAGTGTCTTCTGTCCTAGACTCTAGTTAAAGATTTGCTATCCCTCAGAACCAGGCATGTAACCTTTAGATGGTAAGATTAACAGAGCAGTTTAGATGGCTAATGGTATCCGATATACCCAAGATATCCAGAACTTTTAGTCTGCATTCTATTTGCCAGCTCTGTCAGGATGTGAGACATCCCACCCCTACAATTTTTTTGTCCCCTAAAGGAGCACAGCTGAAGGCCACAGATAGGCTATCAAACAGTACCAGCACCTGCTCCTTGGCAAGCAGTTCCAAGCCCAAGCATCTGCCTTGATTGTTACCTTCACTCACTGGCAGTTGTAACAAGCCCCTCCCCCGCCCCACCAAAAAAAGAAAAAAATTAAGCTGTGAATAGCACAATAAACATTTATGCCCTAATCGATCAAGCAAACTTAACAACTGTAATAGAGTCTACTGAACTGGAATAACCAAAGCAAAACTGGATGGATGTTTTTGCCCCATGTACAGACACTGGGATAGCAGTTGCCAGCGAACCTACAGCAGAATTTGTAGATGGAAGAGGCAGGAGGGGAAGTCTCTGCAGGCTGTCAAATGAGCTTCCCAGGCTTTTAAAATTGGACTGAACTTCAAGGAAATGAAAGCAATGCCAGCCACCTTCATCTTGCCACTTGCAGTGTCAACGTGGGTGGTACTGAAACCATGGGCTCAAGAAACCAGGCAGAGCTCTGTATGAGCTTGCAGTAGCAGTGCGTGGGGCCTGTTCATAAGTTGATACTGGAACAAAATTGCAGACTGTCTGCAGAGATCACCTAGTCCTGCACTCTCCAAAGTGGTAATAACACAGGGACAGATCTTTGAATTGCTTTCTATCAATTTCTAGATTCAAATGGATTCTGGGTGCATGTCTTTATCTATAAGTAGTATAAATTGTTCTCTCACAAATTTTTCCTGGTTCAGAAATGAAAAAAGTTTAACACATCAAGGCTAACATGTCACAGGAAAACTGCTATATGCCTCTGCAGAGGTATAGATTATATAGTCTGAGCAAGTTACTTCTGTTCTTTATGTAGTGCGAGTTTAAAAAAAAAAGTGGAAGGAGGAGAATATTTCATGCCCATGTTCTAATGCCAGCACAAAATTTACCTCCCAAAAGTCTCTGAAAAACCTTGCCCTTGTTTGAAAAGTTTTACTCTAAAAGCATAAATTATCATTGGCAAAGTGAGTATCTCAACTAAATAGGTCTGGAAAACTCAGTGTTTTCATGATGAAATGAGCAAATAATAGATAATTTAAATGTAGGAGGCCCAGCCAGAATAATCAAAGGTCACATTTGCTGCACAAGAGCTGTGTTAGCACAGAGCAGCTGCAAAGGTTACTTAATACTTCGCCTGTGACAGCAGGAGGGAAAACGTTCTGTGTGTAAAACATTCAGACCAAAAGTTCCCCAAAGAAGAACTTTGCCCTCCTGAGTCAGATGCTGCAGGGCACAGCAGTAACACACATACCCCCAAGAAGAGAGGAAAAAAGCTCAAAGCTGCACTGGGAAGGTCACCTCGTTGCCAGCACACTCATCTGTGTGAAAATTCAGCAAGTTAATAATGGCTTAAGTCCAAAAAGTGAATCAGAAATTATCAGTAATTTTAAGTGGCTATTCAAATTCCCACATGAGGAAGTCAAAAGAGAAATGCAGTTTAATCATAATTCAGCCACAAATGACCTGCTGGAAATCTCTTAAGTCTATTTTATTTCTCATGTACTATCTAATCTGGAATGATTATGGTAAAGAGAGTCACTGTATACCGTTCATCTTCATATCAACATTCTTTAGGTGAAAATTGCCTTTTCCTACATTTCTAGCGTGGAAGACTTCTGCAAAGATTCAAACCACAGGATCACTTTTGTGAATTCAGAACACACCAGTGATGGAATTGCCTTAGATTTAAACCAGCAAAAACTTAACCAGAATGTTATACCATAAAAAAGACAAACTGCTTTTTTTTTTTCCTCTTGTTGCTGTCATGTGTTGTCCCCCCCTCATGTGTGCTGCTAGACACAAACCCCTGTTTTGTTTTGGTTTTTTTCCTATTTTGGAGCCTCATACAGCATCTAAGCTATCCAGGGAGAAGCAGGAATATAAAATGCATTAGTAACACTACAAAGAGGTTTCCAAGGGTTTGAGGTATAGGTGCTAAGTAGGCCATGATCTTGACTCACAGGTAGAGCCACAACTTTTGCTCCTTTAGCTGATGCTTCTCTCACGAGTCCACAGGCCCGTTGAAGGTTATCTGATTTAACAGCGGATACATGAAGCTGAATAAGAGCCAAGCGGAAGTCTAATGGCAGAAAAGAAAAAAAATTAGTCAGCAGAATTCCCCCAGGAAAAACTCTTCAGAATTTGAATTCACTAATGAGCATTTAACAAAATAAATTTGCTTATATACTAATATATACACAAACCACTTCCAATTCATTTCGCGGTCTGTCTGTGACTCTGAAAACAGTCTCTTAACACAGGGAGAACATTCAAAGCTAGGCTTGCTAATGGGAACCATACATCACCATAACTTTGCTCAGGTCGAAGATCACAGGGTTCGCATGCTAGTAACACTTAGCGTAGGCACTTACCCAGCCCAAGTTCTAATGTAAGATACTGTGTGACAGAAAGGGAGACCACTAGTCACATAGACCTGCTTCTTCCTTCCCAGGTTGCTACCCACTTTGTGAGCCGATCTTTTCTGTTGCGCCTGTCACCTGATGAGCGCTGCATGTCCTAAAACGCCACTAGCAAACTGAAGGATTGGATAATCCCAAAAGCATCAATTGAGGAAGTAGTTTGCTTTTATCCCTCAAATCACACCTAGACTGGGAAACAGCTGTGAAAAACAATAAAGAGAACATCTTTCCCTGATCATTTCTTTGCAATTTGGCTTCTAGTCAAGAGGCAGTTGCAAGTGTTATCAACCCTGCCTCTAATGCAGCTAAGCAGGATTTATATTGGCAGGCTCTTGAAGTACACAAGTGGAAGAGATCAAATCAAGTTTTGTGCACACCCCTTGGACTTCCTCCCATGAATCTCCTAGTACCTTGGGCTGTACGAAATCATATTCTGATCAGGTAGAACTGCCTCCTTTTAAAAAAAAAAAAGCTCTGGCTTCATAAAGGAAACTACGCTAGTTTGAAAGCACCTCTCTTCTCTGGAAAACTCCCCTGTCATACAGTCAAAGATCACTATAGGAAAAAGCTGCAAAGCAACACAGCCTCAGTGATCAGGGAAACAGGAAGAACTGATTCAAGTGAAGATGAGATCAGGTCAGGAACAGTCAGGCAGAGTATCTTTCTTCCTACTTTCGTTCTCACTTCAGTAGCTAAGCAGCTAACTTCTAGGAGGTTAAGCAAATGATTAACAGCTCGCTGTGTCATTCTTCATGTGAGACTTAATACTTAAGTCTATTGAGTAAACAAAGCTTCACTGAGATTTTGAACAGATGTAACGACAGTTAGCTTCCATACCCACCCAGATAACCATACCAGGAATCTGTCTAAACCTTTCCCATGCTTGTGGAATGTGTTTTAGCTCAGAGAAATTGGACACTTAAAGGTTTACATTTCAGCATAAATTCACTTTTGGAAAAAAAAACCCCAACAAAAAAACCCCAAAAAGCCCACCCCCAAACGAAAAGAGCATCTACCAGGAAAATTTTTAACTAACTTCCTTCTCATAACGTTTAAAAGAAAAGGAAACCATTAATCTTATTTTCCCTGTGCCTAAAGTTTCAAGTTTGTTAAAGTGCAAAATTAAAGCTCAGTCACAATAGAATACGCATATTTGTGCCCACTGTTTGTTTAGAGATGTGTAAGTAACAGAAACACAGAGAAATGTGCAACAGTGGTGTAGAGGCCTATTGGTGTCTTCTTCCAGCCTTGCTAAGCTGCCTCAAAAACTTCTTTAAAAGCAATTTTTGGGATCAGCCTATAGCAACGCAAATCACAACCAGGTAAAAGTGTATCAGACTACAATAATGTTGCATATTTGTATCACTACAAAGCACATTTTTTTGGAAAACATAAGAAGCTAAGCACGTCTTGTTTGTTCACTTGAGATTTCTTGACAAGCTGACCCTTGCAGCAGTACCGAGCGACGCACGGCAAGCTGTTTCCACCGCCTGTAGCAAAGCGAGAGCGCCCGGAGCAGCTCCCTCTGATACCTGCATCATTTCATACCCCTTCAAAGACTCCGAAACAGCACCCCGGACTGAGGCCTTTCCAGTTCAGATTAGGACCGGGGACTCCGGGGAACACTGGCCGGGGCAGCAGCTAACCCACGGCCCGTCCCCGGTTGCGTCCCCACGGTTAGGTAAGAGGGTAAGGGCCCAGAGGGGTCAAGGAGGGGCGGCGGCGGCTCAGGGCGGCCGCTGGGACCGCGGTGACTCCGCGGAGAGCCCCCGGGCTAGTGAGGAAGTCGCCAGTAGGTCAGCGGCCCCTCTCCCCGGCTGGGGCCCGGGGCGGGAGGGCGGACCTCCGCTGGAGCAGCACGTTC